ATTTAAGCTTGAAACAAATAAACTATTATAAATTATAGTATTCCAAATCCTAAAATATTAATGAAACAAAAAATATTTTAGAAATTCCAACCCATAACAAAAAAACCTATGGATTTAAATCCCTTAGTGAAATCTATATCCTAAAATTATAGAATTTGAAACAAACAATCACTACCAAATAATGATTCTACGGGGACGGTTTGTAATTGTCCCGCTAGACAATAAAACCATCATCATAGGCTTAAGGGAACGGTTACTCATCCGATACCTTTGCTGCCATAGTCTTTGGTCTAAGGGGACAGTTCATGATCCAAGTGGCGCGGTTCTTGAATTGTTCCCGTAGATAATATTTAGGGACGATTTAACTATGGGATGGTTCATATTTTTACAGATGGTGATGGTTATTTGGCAACTAGAACAGTTATTTTTTTAAGCTACCGTGACGCTTACACACCAAGGGGGACGTTTCGAGTTTGGCCTAGGAAGACGACTTTATTGTCTATGGGAACGGTTTTGTTTGTGATCTATGGGGACGATTTTTATACTTAAGGAGACGTTAGTAATGGGGATAGTTTTTAGCAATGAAGACGGTTTTTAAATGTAAGATATGAGAACGAGTATATATAGCAAAGGAGATGGTTTTCAATTTTGACCGTGCAAAAGCAAATCATACAGATATATCACACATTTTTTGACCTACAATTTCAAAATTAAAAAAGAACAAAACAAAACAAAAACTCTATGATTTATACCTGCTCATGTCACAAACAAATACATCAAACTCCAAATGATGTTGGTAGCAAACAACCAAACATAAGGGTTAACAATTCATTGGTTTCATTGGAGCATCATGCACACGTCCACTAAGAGATAACCCTAGTGCGGTAAGCGATTCGGAATCCGATAGTGATATATCCATTAATGAACACGCTTGTGCATATGATAGGTTAATGCATACCTACACTAAGTTGCATAATAATTTTGGTAGTTAAAAAAGTAAGCATGTAGAACTGAAATCCGATCTTGAGTTGTTAGCTTCTAAGTTTGATTTAATTTCTAATGAGAATGTGATCCTCAAAAAAATAATGAGAAATTAAAATTAGATCATGTTTCCTTAATTTCAAACTTGCTAAGTTAACTCATGAGAAAAATAATGCCATATTAGAAGTAGCGAACGTTAGAAATGAATTTACTTCTTTTAAGAATAATCATGTTTGTTCTACTTCTAATGTCAATGCATATATGCCTAATGATGAGTTGAATGTTATTAAAAATTATATTTCATCTTTAGATTCAACTCTAACTTCATGCATTGATAATCATAAGAAGCTTATAGATATTGTTTGGTGGAAAATTTATGAAATGAAAATGAAAGAATGTGTTTTATTTTATTCTCTCTAATCACTTAGAAAAAGAATTTTACAAATCTCTTAATCTCAATTACAATTTGGATTTCTGATTACAAAAGAGAAGAAAATTGATCTGAATTCTCCCCTTTGTTTAATTCTGGATTCTTCACGGTGGCGATGGAGTGCCTCCTTCGAATGCTCGTATCGAATTCGCTCTCCGTTGACGATCCAAGCGTCTTGTCTTGCTGGAACAACTAACTTGCATGGCAAGCTTGATTAAGAACACTTAAATGAGTTTTGTAACTCAGAAGGAGTGTCAAACTCCATGAAAAAGAGTTGTTTAAACCAAATAATCGGTTAATAAGCCAAGTATCTAGACCCTTTGTTGCTAGTGGATGCTCCAAGATCTTCTTGTTGCTAAGAAATTTTCTCTAACTGAACTCGTGGATGATCCGATCTAAAAAAATCCAACCTCCCTACCTGGTTGAGTAATGTGGTTATTTATAGGAGGATAAGGGGTGTACCAACCCCTAAATCTGCTCCAACGTAGGCGAGAATCCCTCAAAACGTGGGATAAACAGTTCTGAGGTCGTTCAGCTTGTGTTTGAACAAGTCAAATGCTTAAATCGGCATTACAGGCCTTAACTCTGCATCTTAGACTTGAGACACAGAGTTGGGTGCTTGTTGAGAATTGAAAACACAGGGGCCGTTTGCGTTCTAAGTCCTAACGCTGCTTCTTAGACTTGAGATACAGAGTTGGGTATCTGTTGGAGATTGAAAATGCACGGGCTGCTTGCGTTTTGTTTGCTGATGGTCGAAAATGTAGGGATCACATGCGTTTCAAAAACTAAAACGCAAAGGTGAATTCTCTGTTTAAAAGGGGCTAATAACTTGTAACCTCTTCTGTAAAGCGTTGCAAAGATCATTGTTTAGTAATCTTCACTTTAGCTGTTTTGAGGTGTGAAAGTCGTCAGATTGTAACTCTCAAAGTTGATGGTAAAGGCCACTGAATAGAGTTTTTGTTAGTCGTCGGAAGGGTCGTTGTATTGTAACTCCTCTCGATCTATGTAAAAAGTCCTCCATTTATAGCTTTCATTTGTTGACATGAAAGTCATCTGATTGTGACCTTCTTAGTCAAGACTGTTGGTTGAGGTTTGACAGGGATCAGCTATCTATTGTGATTTTTAGACAGCCTACAGAACCTCCTCCAAAGTTTTTGAAAGTTCGCGGTTGACTGGTACGAATTTTTGGAATACTTTAGATCCCGAAATTTTGTTGATTGATTATTTCCTCCATCTGATTCGAAGACATCGTAGACCTGGTTATTGGAACGTAGTGATTCAACTTCCTTAAATCAAACAAGGTAACTTTGTATCTTGATGACAATGAACTTAGTCAAACAAGCTAAATCCCATCGTTATTGAACCAAACAAGGACGAAGATGATAACGAACTTATCTGGATCCTTAAGATACTCCACTCAACTTGCGAAGAGGTGTATTCTTCGAATTTTGTCTAGATCATTGAGATACTCCACTCAACTTACGAAGAGGTGTATTCTTCGAATTTTATCTGGATCCTTGAGATACTCTACTCAATTTGCAAAGAGGTGTGTTCTTCGAATTTTATCTCGATCCTTGAGATACTCCACTCAACTTGCAAAGAGGTGTATTCTTCGAATTTGTCTGGATCCTTAAGATACTCCACTCAACTTGCGAAGAGGTGTATTCTTCGAATTTGTCTGGATCCTTAAGATACTCCACTCAACTTGCGAAGAGGTGTATTCTATGTCCAGAAAATTCTTGTAGGCATTGATGAACACTCGACGTGTAGCTGCAGGCTTTAAGTAATAAAAGGTCCAATGATAGCGACGCTATCATGAAAACACCAACTGCAAACTTGTTAGCGAGATCTTCTTCAGTGAGGTTGAGCATCTTTTTGCTTTGTTAATCTTTGTTAGAATGTTAAGTCATTCAAAAGAATGAGTTGCGTGACGGATCGAACTCGATGATTTCAATCATCATTGACTGTAACCTATCTGTACTTGTCCAAAAGGCTGCATAGTTGCTTATTATAAGCCAGTTTCTTCTCGGCTTTGGTCACCTTAATGGTTAATGTTAGCCCCTCTTTATTTTTTTGAAGCTGTGTCATAGCCTTGGTCGTCGAGACATTCCTTTTGTGGCGTTTAAAATGCATAAGTGAACTCTGTACTTGAGAATTGAAACACAGGAGTGAACTCTGTGTTCAGAAGTTCAACCAACATGGACGCAGAGGTCGCGTTTGGTGGGATTCTAGTCTAAAATCTCATCCTGATTCGACAGCTCATAGCTATCTATAAATAGACCGATGGGGTCAAATCAAGAGTCATTCGACTCTTTCCTCTGTTCTTCCCCAAATGGCTTAACGAAAATCCTTCGTTTTAAAAATCCGACGAATCCTGTTCACCTTCTTCGATCGTCATCCTTAATGGCACCAAGGAAGAAGACTGTCTCTCGTCCTAAGTTAGTCGTCGCTGCTGCTACGAGTTCACTGCCGACTACGGTCATTGGCGACGTTGCGGCTTAGGCAGGTGCGCTACCGTTGCGAACTCCTCTTGTCGGTGGTGAGTGCCAACTTTCGTGGCAACCAAACTTGCTTCGACAAGTTCTGATCAACGAGGAAACTTGTTCTGATATTGTGACGCAGAGTTGGGCATCTGTGTTTAGATTTTGAAGCACTGGGGTTCAACCTCTGCACTCGAATTTTAAAATACAGAGCTTGGACTCTGCGTTTGAATGTTAATGTAGAAACTAACTTCTGCGTTAAAATAATTATTTAACGTAGGGTCTGAACTGTGCATTTGAATGCTTAACGTAGGATTTTACCTCTGCGTTAGAAAAATATTTAACGTAGGGTCTAAACCATGCGTCTGAATGCTTAACACAAGATTTGACCTCTGTGTTTCACTATTTTAACGTAGGGTTTAGACTTTGTGTTAAAATATTTGACGCAGAGTCTGAACTCTGCGTATGACCTCTTTCACAACGAGTTCAACCTTTGTAATTAAGTCAAGTCTCTTTTGTTTTGTCTTCATGCTAACTGACTGAGTGCCTTTCTCTTTTGTAGTGCCTTACACTCATGAACCTCTCACTCTTCATCATCACTTTGGCCATGAGAGCGGTGTGGATTTTAACATGCAATTTAATCCACGTCAGGAACTCCTAATTTTTTAAGATGCTGACAAAGAACGTGTCACTCTAATTACCCAAGCTATCCTGGCTGTACTCAGGATTTTAGTTACAGATGCCAAGTTTGAAAATGAATCTTGTAAGAAATTCACCAAGCCAACATTTTTGTTTGGAGACAATAGTGTCATCTAGAAAGAAATCATACATGGTGGACATTGCAAGTGGTTGAGGCATATAGGGGATCGCCGCTTCTTTCTTCCAGACATTCATAGGATGTTCCCTGTCTCCTATTATCAATGTGCCTCCATCTCCCGACATATGAATTGGGACCTTGTTAAGGAGAAGGATGGGGTAGTAGTTGGGGCTTTGACTTTTACGAGCGTACACACTGTAGGTTACAACTAACAGGTGTCAGTCTTAGAGACATGCTTATTCTCAAGGGGATACCCAGTAGGAGAAACAGCTAGTCCAGTCAACACCTTCATGCGGAGATTTTTGGCTATGAAAGTGGACTTCCCTTCTTTAGTGTTTAGAACTCTGGGATGGGTACATTCCACTAGCGCAGGGTGGTGGACAAGGATGACAGAATTTATGCTGAAAGAGTTAGAGGGGCCATTAGCTCGATCTGGACTCAGCTGCTCTATAATGGCTACCAGATTTGGTATTGATTACAACCATTACAATTTTTATGCTATTCTGGAGAGATATAACCCAAAGACGTGTACATTCTTTACTCTGATAGGGGAATTAGGTTTTGCCCTCCACGAAATGTATGATATTTCTGGCATTCCCTTTGGAGATTTACCCTATGAAGAGTTCATCCCAGGATCAAGTGAGCTTAGGATTTTGAAGGAGACAAGCCCTGAGGTCTATGACACCCTATGGGAAGTGATGTATCATTTTCAAATCTGCACTCAATTGATGGGGACACAAGGACGTGGCATAAAGCAGCTGTCCTGGGCTGAATATCTCTTCCAGAATTTATCTCACAAAGTTGTTGATGTGTCTCGTTGGAGTGTGAGCACACCTGAGACTATCACGCTTTGATCAATGATGCCACTGCTCATTATGTCAATGAGGGATTAGAAGATGGCTTCCCTGCTCAGACTGAGTTCGAAAGCTTCCACCATCAAGCTGTTATTTCTATTTTTGACATGGCTTTGCTGGTAGGTTTTCTCATGTTATGGCTGAAACGGTGTGTCGTCCCTACCATGCCGATAGATGCTGTAGTAGTAGAAGTAATCTACCCAGCTATTCTCTTAGCCCATGGGAGGCCCATGAATTTACTTTTGGCTATGACATGTTGTTTGCAGCAAGGTTTAAGGGAGTTGTGCCTTGAATTCATTCAGGTGAAAGAGACAGGCTCCGGGGAGAAGAAAAGTTTGATAACTCCTAATCCTCGAGTACCCTTACTGTATACTTATCTGATGGCATGATACATATCTCATTATCCTCATTTAATGAGTGCACCATCTTCCTCGGACGACGGATTTGTCCCCTCCTTGCAGAGATTGGAAGAAGCTACCTGGGAGGGTACGTATGTAGTAAGGGTTCGTCAAATATTGTTGAGAGACCTCAACTATCAAATATTCCGCTTCTTCCCGGACTTTGAAGCTGGGGGTTATGGGTAGGTATTTCAAGACACAGCTGGCCCAAATGGTTTCACTTGATTAGACGGAGAAGTTTTATACTGGTTACTTAACATTAGACCAGGTTATCTCCTTCTCAGGCAAAATGAGAAATGCATAATTGAGCCATACCAACCGTACAGGTTCGCTCGATAGTTTGGGTACGATCATATATCGGGAATCCATGGGGTCAGCTTGCAGTTGTTGGTAATCTATATGAAGGGGCTCGGGCTTAGTACTATTCCACAGCAAGCTGCACTGGAGTTATATTTAGGTTACCTCACAAGACACCTAACTCTCTCCTCTCCATGGCTTTCAACAATTGGTATCACACAACTTCTAAGATGCCTGAGTATAGGCTAAATTTGTCCAGCTTATGGAAAATTAGAAGAATGTACTCATCTAGAAGAGGATCCCGAGTATCTTGTCTGAAAGGAATTAGCGAGTTCTTATCTTATGAGGATGAAGCTGAAGAAGGATAAGGAGACCTGGGACTAGAGAGCGCTCTAGCAGTGAGTCCTAAGGTTGCTGATGCGGCATAAACATGTACCAAAAAGGTTGTAAGTGCACAACCATGTCAAGTTATAGTATTTAAGATATCGATCCCACGAGGAAGGTGTTTTGTAGGAGAAAATATAAAATCGGTTCTTATGTTGTGTGCGTGACAAGTAGGAGTGATAAGTGAATGTGATTGTGGAGAGATAGAGAGAGTGGAAGTGATAGTGTGTAAATCGGCACGAGATATAAGTGAGAGTGGATGTGACAAAGAATGAATATGATCAATAAGGCAAGAAAGAAAAGGAAAATAAAAATCAAGAATAAAGAAAATAAAATTCAAGAATAAAAGAAAATACAAGAAATTAAAGATGGTGGATTCAATTATAGATATGGGTAATCTACAATTGAACCCACTTCTTAGAAAAGGGTGATTCCCTAGAGGGTTCTAGCCTAAAGGCGAATCAAACAAAATAAAAATAAACAAAAAGAAAAACTAAACCCAAGAGGGTTCTAGCCTCAAGGTGAATAGTATAAGAAATTAAAATCTAACTACAAAATAAAGTGCAAAATCTAAACTACAAAATAAAATTGCAAGAATTAAATGCAAGAAAATAAATCTACTCTATAAGCATGAAATAAATCTAATCTATAAGCATGAAATAAATCTAAGGCAAGAGGGTTCTAGCCTCTTGGCTATTTAACAAGAAAATAAAATCTAAACTACAAGCATAGAAATAAATCTACACTAATAAGCAATAAAAAGGAAATAAAAGAGAAAAAGGAAAGAAAATGCAAACCTCTAAATAATTCTTCATCTCCATCTTCACAACAAAGAGAAGAAGAGAAAAATTTAAAGTGGTGAAAAAATTATTATTATTAATTGCAACTAAAATTACAATTTTGGAATGCCTTCTCAATTAAGAGTAGCCTTCCTCTCCAAAAGGAATTACAAAAATTTTCACACCTCTAACCCCTCACTCTCTACCCTTATTTATAGTAAACATCAGTGAATGAGAGCCATTGGATCAAACTTGAGCCCCAAGAATGTAATTTCGGCCGTTGATAAAATCTGGAGGACTTCGTATCGATACCGGCATCGATGCCTACATTGATGCTGGCATCGATGCCTTAATAAAAATTCTAACTTCACGGTTGGCTTCGTCTCGTCGAGATAGGTGATTTTCATATATTATATGTTAAATTCCGCCTTCCAGATTGGGAGATATCGTCGTTTCTTTGCTCCTTTTGCTGTCCGCAGAGTTCCTCTTCTATTGGCTTTTGGACTTGGATTTTGGGCTTTTGCTTGGGCTTTTGGGCTTCTTGATTTCTTCATGTATTTATTTTGGGCTTTTGGATAATTTGGAAATTGATTTTCCAATGGGTTTCTTTGCTTTATTTCTTCATTTAATCAATGGGTTTCTGTTGAGAAATGAGAGTTTGAGATTTATTCTTCATTAACCTGCATTTAAAGATAAAAACAATTATTAGTGGTATATTTATTCATATAAAATAGATAATGAGGGTATAAAATTGTAATAAAAATGTGATTATCAAATACCCCCACACCTAAACTTTTGCTAGTCCTCTAGCAAAGAAAATAAAAAGAAAATCCTAACTCACTTTCGCAGGAATCGCGGTTGTATTTAGCGCATACAACAAGCCTTTAAACCCCTAGGTTACCCTAGTGGACGAGTTATAGTCTCGTAAGGGTTTGCAGTGAATATACCCATAAAATTCAGTCAATTTGCCAAATTAAAGAAGTCAGTAAATAACTAAATTCACTTGATAACTTTTAGATAATCTAATTGGAGCCAGTTATCATTCAAGAAAACATTTTTATATATAACTCTAAGGTATATTTTCAAGAAAATTTTCTCATTGTAGCAATACAAAACCAAGACAAACTTAGAAATTTAATTTAAAAGTTTTGAAAAGAACATGCTAACTCTTTGTTTTTAAATAATTTTCAAGTTGCTTGATTTAAAATATTTTCCAAGACTATATATACAACTATAAAACATTTATTAGTTTTTTTAGTTTTTTTATTTTTTTATTTATTTTTTTAACTCTTTCATGCTTGGTGATTTTTTTCTACTTTAACGGGCTTTCTAAGTGACCTTTTAACGAGTTTTGGGCCAATGGATCCCAACCCAAATGGGCTTAGGTCATTAAGTATGGAAATACTTCTTGGGCTTAATTACTCGGTCAGCTTAGGCTTTATAAGATAGAATCACCTTGAATTCAAGAGTTTTTTTTCGTTTTTGGTGCCCATTTTTCGCACTCTTCTTTTGTTTTTTGTTTTTTTTTGTATATGTATATATATATTGAAAATATGTAAATCAAGACACTTTGAAAAAATTATTTTCAACTCTAAGTTAAGCATGCAAAAATTTTATTATTTTAAATAAAAGTCCAAGTTAAGGCTTAACTAAAGTATACTACTTTGAAAATCATTTCTTAAGAAATTTATTTAGAGTTATCATAAAAGATGAACTTAAGTAAATAACCAACTAGGGATTAGAAAATTTCAAATTTATTAAATAAATCAATTATTACATAACTCTATCAATTTGGCAAGTGACGATATTTTTATAAATTTTTTTTAGGAAAAGAAAAAAAGTGACAAAAATGCACTAAAATTGTAAAATAAAGAGAAAAAAATAACTAATTCCCACCCCCATACCTAAATTTTGCATTGTCCTCAATGCAAACTCTATGATGCATAAAGTAAAGCAGATAAGAAGTGAAGCACTTACATTTGGTTCGCTGATAAAAATCTGCAATTACCTTTGGTCTGAGGAGGAGGAAATTAAACATTTATTCTTTTCTTGTTTTTTTTTATTTTTTTTCTTCTTTTTTCTTCTTTTTTTAACAACTGAACAAGAAACTCTTAAATGAGAGAAGAATAAATTCTTTTTATTATTCTGAAGTAAACAAAATAATCAATGTAGAATGAAATATTCAACATGAAGAGTTCATGTTCTATATTGAATCCTACCTTATTGCTGAAAATTCTCCCATGGATTTTAAATAAATTCAACATGATATAATCAACAATGTGCTGAAATTCTAAGCATTCCGGGGTGTTCAATGATTTTTGTGGCAATGGAAGGTAGGTATTATTGGTGTCATGCATATTGGACTTAGATTCTTGATTTGTGAATGTTTGTTCTCTAACAACCAATTTTTCTTTAACAATTTTCTCAACCCCAAGATTCATGGTTGATGTGTAAAAATTTGGTTGTTGTTTATTTTCCAAAAATCTTAGTTCATCAAGAAAGAGTTTTTCAAAATTCAGTTCAAAACAGCAATTGTCCAACACAGTTTCTTTATTTTGACAAACCCGATCTGCTTCTCCT